CAAGTTTAATTAATACAAAACAAAAAACAAACAAGCATGATAATTAATGTTAACCCTCATCAATTTTTAATTGACGTGATTTTGCTTTCGTGTTAGTTTCTAAAATTCATTAAAGTAAATACTTTTACACACAAGAATGAAACAAACTTTCAACACTGCTGTTACGAGTTGATGCTATGAAAAATAAGCAAAAGTTTTTTTGTTGTTTTTTTTTTTAAACATTCCTTGGCTTTCAAATATTACAAACCAGTTTGTCTAGTTGTCATATTGGTTTTTTATTTCTTCTAAAAACATAAACATTCTAAATATATATATATCTACCATCACCGTCATTATTTTTATTTCAAAATAAATCATAGCTGTAATATACTTAGATATACAAGATTACAATTAAAATAACCATAAATTCTCTCCTTAATTGTATACAAAAAAAAAAAAAGAAACATTTATTTAAAATCGAATTAATAGAAAGCAAATTCTTATTTATTGCTAGCTAATAGTTCATTAATTTGTGCTTCAAGTTCTTCAGCAGTGACATTCTCCAGTTCATCAGCTAATCCTTTATCCCATTCACTTTCATCTAAATCTAAACAAGAGAAAAAAAATCAACTTATATAAAGAAATAATATATAATTGATTACCTGGACTTCCATGTTTTGTTGTATTGGAACTTTTTTTTGTTACAGTTAATTGTTCGATTTCACGTCGAATATCATCCATACTTAAAGCTGATGTATCGTAATCTTCACTGACAAATTCTTGATTAACATCAGACATTTTTTCTTGTAATTCTGATGTTCGACTGGCTAAAGCTGAAAAAAAAAAATAATGATTCATTCTTTAAGTGGTCTTTTCTTTAATTAAATCTTAATGTTCTTAATTGGATTATTTCTCTATTGATATTCTCGTTTAGAAAAAAACATCATGATGTGTTTTATTTCTTTTTTGATTAATTGGTTTTTACTTACTATGAATTTGGTGGAAAAGAGAAAAAGTGTCGACAGTAGAAAGCTATGAATTCATATTCTTGTGAACCTGAACTCGCATCCTTGCTGTCGATAGAGATATTCGGTTTTGATTTCTTGATAATAAATAGATACTTATTCAAACAGATGACAGTTTGCATTCACCTAACAATCAGTTAGTGTATAATATTATCAATCTGAAGAACATCTTCTAAATTTACCATAGTCTTCTTATGATAAGCCTTTTCTTGATGTTTTGCTTCTCGATATTTCTGGTTCTTTTCTTCTTTGTTCACTGGGATCTCATTCTTATCCATAAAAGTTAATTCGAATCTTTATGTTAAACTTATTTATTAGAAAATAAATCAAAATTCACCTAGTCATTGCTCAAGATAGCACATTGCGCACTTGGATGATCGAATTTCTGCTTGAAATTTGATCATTTATCTGACTAAGTTTTTTGGTACACTATATATATATATTGTTGAGGAAGATTTAATATATCAATTCTATAAATAAAAGGGACGAGAATGTTGTGAAGTGATAGAGAAAGGAACAAAACTATTTTAATATTAAATAATAAAATTTATCTAATTAAGCAAATAATGAATAACTTAGCTGCAACTTGAAATTTGTTGTCAATAATTTTCAAAAAAACAAATTATATTCTTGTTAACTTCTCAAAACAAAATGAGAAACATAAATAGAACATATAATTAGTTAATAGATATGCAGGATGTGCAGCTATTTTAATGACTATGAATCACGGCAGTTACATTGGACTCTAGAATGTACTCAGTAACCTTATGTTCACAGAGCAAAAACTAGAGTAAAACGCCCATAATTTGACAAGCGAAGATCAAACTGACATAGGCTTTTTCATTATTCATCAAGATCGATTGAGTGGTAATTGCTTCATACGGAAATCAATTTGACAATTGAGAACGCTCCTTCGTCAATAGGAAAGCAGAAGTAGTCTATTTATAGTACAATTTATTCCTATTCTACAGAAGAAACATGTTTCTTTTGAATTTCAGATTATTATTATTTTTTTTTTTTTGATTTACCAGGATTATTTGATGAATTACGTGTTTCATCCGTTGATTGTGTATTGACTAAAATAATACAACAATAAAACGAAATAAATAGATAATAATTTACCATTTTCACTTGCTAAGGCCGTTAATTGAGCCGATTGCTTTATTAAACTTACACGATAGAAATAATTACACCAAAATGATTCTTCATTAATTCTAAATATAAACTTAGCTTTTTTTCAGAGAGACTTTTTCAAACACAAAAAAAACTTCTTACTGTTTTGGTACAAGTTCAAAACGCATTTGTTTTAGATTTTCATCAACTTCGAGAGTAGCTAATGCAACTGGATAAATAGCTGCCATATCAAAATGATAATTAGCTCCGGGCGGTGGGCTACGAAGGAAGTTACGTTTTTCCTAAACAAACAAAAAAAAAATTACAATAAAAGGCATCCCCTTACATTCCAATTTCCATAGGATAGAAAAATAGAGCATGAAGTTTTGCATATTTCTCCTTTTTGTTAAATGCAAAAAACAAATTTTCGATGATTCTCAATATGAAAAGTAATAGCATAGATCAATGCACTTTTTTATATTCTGCAAAGTGACCTAATGATCATATTTATCTTTAACTTCTTGCTTAGATTATACAGTATCAAATAAGTACAATATTTGACTCGGCATAATCTAAGAAAAAAGTTAAGAATAAACATGATTACTATGTTAGTTTGTAGAGGCTAGAAGAAAAAATTATAGGTACCATAGTTATTAATCGAGACACTTAAAAGTGATAGATCACCAAGACTATTTAGTCTTCGAAAAAAAAATTTTTTGCATTCAAGAAAAAACAAAATATGTGGGTTTCATTCACTATCTTTTTATCCTATCGAGAGTGAAGTCTAACAGCAATGGTAGATTTACGATTCTATCCGATGGTGTTCTTTAATAAATTAATGATGACTAACTTGTGAAAGAGCTAAAATTTGTTTTTTCATTTCTTCTTCTTGTTCATAACCAACCCATGGAAGAATAGCTGTTTCTTCATGTCTTTGTTTGACACGTTTATCTGTTAAAAATTTTTCTTGTTCTTTTGTAAAATTACCAATTATAGTTTTTTCTTCTACAACTTGTTTTAATTGTTGAGCACTTTTCAATACAGTTGAACCAAGATCACTAAGAATACCTATTCAAACGATTTTACAAAATAAGAAATGAAAAATTTATTTGAAATAAGAATCATATACTAGTTAAATCTTTATTTGTTTTAGTTGTTTCAGAAGTTTGTTGTTCGTTCTCATTAGATGTTAAAAATCGTTCCTGAATTGATTTTTGAACAAATGTATTAGCAGCAGTGCCTACTTTCGTTGTTGCTTGAACAATTGTTGAACTTATATTTGATAATTGATTAGTTAAATTTATTGGTAAACCAAAATTGCTAAACCATGATGATGAGGAGGAGGATTTTTGTTCTTGAATAGATGTTGATACTTCACTCATGATTTATCTGAAAATATATTAGTAGATTCATTGTTCATTTCTATTATGTATGATGAACAGAAAATAAAAACATTTATTTTGTTTCCTTTTTTAAATGTAAAATTATCCTATTCATGTACTTTGAAATTTAATAATGGATAAGAATAAACATGTAATTCAGAATCATTTTATGCATAGGTATTTTATCTAGATTTTCCTTTCCGGAGGGCACATACCTATTTAAAGAAGCACAAAAACATAGTATGAACGTGGTACAATAACATCAAACTCTGGAAAGGGTATCCGAATAAAACACCATTGTGCATATTTACAAATATAAATGAATATTGTTTAAACTCTTCTTCAGTAGCTAAATTAACTTGAATTTTTTTACGAATTCGATAATGAGAATATTGAAAAGGAAAAAGGTGTTTTCCAGATTTCTATAAAGTTTTTCCTATGGGAAATTTTAAGTTCTCTTTATATAATATTAATAAATCGTCATTTCTATAATAGTTGGGCGTTCTCTTGTTGCACATCAATCTCGAACAAATCCTGTTAATCAATATAACTTGTCCTTGATAAGCGGTTTCATCACCATATAAATTTAAACATACATTGGACTCTCCGCGATATTTACAAGATCGAATATACTTTTGTATCTAATCGCACTTGAACATAACAGATTTTTTTTAATATGATAATTGAGCCCATACATCAACCATATAGGTTCAATCATGCGAAAGATAAACAGTAATTTTTTTATTCGTAGCTGCTTTCATACCTGCGCAAGCAAATTCCCTGAGAAAAACTTATTTCGTTGTATTGAAAAAAAAAAAGACAACAAACTTGTCAAGAATAGAAATCGAAAATACCTTGCTGAATGATACACGAGTAATTTGGACCTTACACATACAAATGAATTTTATAAGCTTTTGATATCTTATAATCGAGTATAATTTCACTAGTTACTTTCTCTTATCAAAACGAAAAAAAAGAATTCCTTCTATATGACTAATATTAAAAAAAAAAGATGAAGATTTGGTTAATGAGAGAAGTGAATCAGTTTGTAGCCTTTGAAACTATCGACGACAATAATTTGTTTGCAGTTGAATAATCAACTTCGCATATAGGTTCATTATTAATGTACTGATTTGATATAAAACACACGTCGTGATGTGAAAAAAAAAATTCTACACTCACTAATACTCTTCAAGAATAGATAGATAATTTTGACAATAAATAGGTTTGTTCTCTATTATTACATTGGTTTATCTCTAAGCAAATCATAAGTTAAGAAAAAAAATATATTCTTATTTTTAATCCATTTTTTTTAAAATAAATTTCAAAACAATTAAATCAAAGAAAAAATATTTTCTTTATAGAATAAAAATTTATAAAACTCGGAAAAACAATACACAAAAGTAAACAATAACAACAACAAGAAGAAAAGGAAAGAACGTTATTTTTCTCTCTTTTACTATTCTATATCCTTCATTCGTAAGCTATGATCTTCTCACAAATGCTTGTCATTTTTTTCGCAGGTATTAATTAATCTAAAAGCATATATTTTTTATTCTTCTCGAACAATCTCTTTTCGTTGGTTGTAAATCTGGATAAATTTTTCTAAACATAAAATCTATTAGTCCTTCTTCAGATCGATGAAACTATAAAGTAGTAGGAAAAAGTTTAACAACACTGTAATTTAAATTTGTTTTTTCTTTATAATGTTAAACATTCGCACCACTTTTTATTTTTAAGTCGAGTATTAAAATGACACAAGATGATTTTAATATGATCGTATGCTTATGCAGCAGATTCTATCTGCTCTATATATATATATGTGTGTGTATTTGTTTAATACGAGAAATGCTTGAATAAATAGAAACTTGAGCCCTATAATAAATAAAAAGATTACGTGATATGGTTTGTTACAAGTCTTGATAGTTTCATCACGCGTAGACTAAGCTCGATAAACTATTGAATTAATATAAAAAGATATGTTTCAGAAGACGCTTTAGACATGTCATTTTCTTGTTGTTGATAAGATTTGCAAACAGCAGGAGAATTTAATGAACTGTGTGTGTAGTACATTTCATTATTACACTATGAATTTAGTATTGGGTAAAGAAAAATTGTACAATACATTCAAAAATTAAAGAAACATTTTATAAAATAATCGACGTTTGAAATCAGTAGAGATAATAGTTATGTCTAATCAAAATAGTAAAATGTTTCAGTCTATTAAACAATGTATTATTTCATGAGTGTGAAATAGCATTCATTACTCACTGAAGAAAGTATTGAGCACTATTATATTCATTGCCATATAACACATGGGCATGATGTATGTGTAAAGATTATTCATTTTCATAAAATCACTATCATTCTTCAAGAACCTACAGGGACAACATCATGTTGTCTTTTATATTTAATCATTTCTCGTATTAAGATCAGTGTATATTTAGATATATAATCATATTAAATTAATATTATATAATTTTAAAATACAAGTTAAAAATAAAAAGTGATGGTGCAAAACTTTTAATGTCGACTATAGCTCAAATCGAAAATGTGATTTTTTAATAACCAATGGAGTATTCTATACTAAATGAATTATGATAGTAAGGTCTTTAATTTGTTGAAAAATAATTTTTGAGATCTGAAAACTATGGAGTTCGAGTTTTTAGAAATCGTGTAACAGAAAACTCTATTGACTATTAAAAATGCATTGCTGTTGAATTTTTTTTTTTTTTTGCATCTTAAACTAGTTGATTTAATTAAAAGAGTTTTGGCATCGGTGATCTATAGAAGCATCCGTTGAAGGTGTTGATTTAGATTCTTTTGAATTCAATAAATTCTAATCTACTTTAATCTTTTTTCTTTCTTGTCTAGTATCAAATATAATATTTAATCTAAATGCGCAATATGTTGGCATACCACACATAGCAGCTGATATTAAAGCTGTATTAAAACATTCACTTGAATTAAAATGTGAATATACAGGAAATGATGGCAATGGTGAATTTATTGGTTGGTATAAAGATGGTGTAGCTGTAACTACTGAAAAACCCGGTCATTATGTGGTCATGCAGGATGCGACGTATTCAACTCTTGTAATAAAAATTTTCGGTAAAGAAAGATATTTTTCGAAGACAAAAAACTAACGAAATTTTGTATTCTTTTAAGTAAAATCTGATGAAAATATTACAGTTTGGCAAGTTAAAACAAAGAAAAATGGTACTGAAGAACCAAGTCAATGTCGATTTGGTCAAATACGACGTAGAATAAAAATTTATTCATAATAATAATAATAATAATGTCATTTTTAATGTGTCTTTTTCTATTAGTTAAACCATCACCACAAGGTATAAAAACAAATCGAAATAATGAAAAAATTGAATCTACTCATGGATCAATACGACGAAGTGAAGATAAATTAGTTCATTTAAAATGTATTATTGATCCTGAACCAATTGATCCAAATGAGATTGATATTCAATGGGACTTTAGTAAAGATGGTCATTCATTTTCTAATTTACCTTCAGGAATCAATAAAGTAGACAATGAATTAGTCATTGAAAAAGTTAAAAAAATTCATAATGGTTATTATCGTTGTTCACTCAATGATGTTTCATTTACAGTTTTATTACGTGTTAAAGGTTTGTTTATTTAACTGGCTCTTTACCGTTACCCGGGGATTTCTCAGAAACGAGTCAAGGAGAACAAAATTTGTCATAGACTCAAAATTTCCAGATGCTTCATTTAGGAAGATACGGCATAAGATATTTAAATATAATCCAGAGTTGGAACCGGTCCGGCCGGACCGGACCGGACAAAAAGTTAAACCGGGCCGGACAGAACCGGATTTTTGCCAGTTCATTATTACAAAATTGTTGTTTGCATCCAAGAATTTTCTCTACTGAAAACGGTCTTTTTATGATATTTTCAAGTCAAAAGAATGTGTTTGCGAAAGACTCAATAGCTATCTTGTCTTCGACTTGACTGTAAACGATTTATTGTTCTCTTTATATCGATCGATTTCTTTCTCATGTATCGCTCAATTTAACTTTGATCAAATAATTTATTCTCTTGTTCTACTTACGCAGCTGCCTGAATTAAGAAAAATAAAAAATTTACATTTTTATGTTATATGTTTTATAAATTTGCTTTTTTTTTTCTTTTTTGAAATTCAGATGAAAAACAGTTTTGCTCTGAATAGCTAATTTATATCGATATCGGGCTCGAAAAGTCGACGCACCTTGCCATAAAATATGAAGGGAGAGTTTCAGTTCCAAGTTTTAGTTTCCAGTTCGGATTAAGAGTGGCGATTTGCCGTTAATTAGTTATAATTTTAAATTGGATTTGAATAAATTTAAATAATTTTAAAAGATTTAAATTTATGTATATCCGATTTAAATTCGAAATAAATAAAGCTTTTTAAAATTTATTTTTACTTTAAATTTCTTAAAATTTATTTTTGAATTTATAAATTTTTCGTAAATGTTAATTGATCATCCCAAGTTGGGATTTCTGCATGTGAATATTCAATTCCCCTTCGCTAATATTTTATGTTAACAGATACTTTTATGGTCGGTTATTTTCGCCAGATTTTTGCCAGTTTGGCTATAAAATTCGTCCGGCCGGATGCTAACCGGACCGGACCGGACAGATTTTTTAGTCGGCCGGACCGGACCGGATAGAAAAAAACTGTCCGGTTCCAACTCTGATATAATCTATCTAACGGAATAAATAGCTTTGTTACAATATCCTCAAACAAAACTGAAAAACTAGTTGCCCAAAAATCGTGATGTCATCGAGAAAATTGATATCTGAAAAACTTAAACTGCTCGACAGACAAATCAAGTACATTTTCTGATGGCAATTACGATCAAATTAGGCTGTATGCTATTTTTTGTAAAAAAAATTGATCTTGACAAAAATATGTATGCAGTGTTAGAGATCCGTGACTCATGCTCTCAATACCTTTAGAAAATATTATTAGGAGAATCTTGCATAGAAAGAATAACTGTAGTGTCAGAGTTGGATTTAATAAAAGTACTAGCTAACCACGACGAACCTTCATTTGTGTGATATTTTGCCAGAGAACATTTCGAAGTCAAATCAAAACTCGAAAAAAAATTTTTTATGTTAATATCCGGCAAGAGAAGAAATGTTCATTTAATTGTTTTTTTGTTTTTATTAGATCGATTAGCAGCACTTTGGCCATTTATTGGTATTGTAAGTGTTGTTCTTGTTCTTGTTATTATTATCTTAATCTTTGAAAAACGTCAAAAATCGAACAAGAAAACTTCTACAGATGATGATGAACAAGATCAAGTAAATGATCCGTAAGTTTAAATTTTATTCATATAAATTGAACTTTCTTTTTTTTCTTTTATTCTTCAGACTTGTACGAACAACAACAAATACATCAGAGAATGATAATAAAAAACGTACAGCCAATGCATAAATATTCAAAAATAACACATTCATTATCCAATAGACTTATTTTTCCTATAGTCATTTCCGCGTGTAGCTATTTATGTTGCATACTCGATTTAGCATGAATCGAGTTGTATATATATATATTCGAACAGTTACTTGCAAAACTGTATTTTTTTTTTCTTGTTCATATATATCTGTAGCTTGTGTATGTGATTACAGAAAGAAAAATTGATACTAAATTAAGATAGAATGTAATCATTTATCTTTTTAATAGTATAAAAAAAAGTAGCATACTACAGTTGTCTAAAATTGTAACGCTGATACACAGATTATTTATGTTTATTTGGCTTTATTTCATTTATGTCTTGTATTTTTTGTTCTTATTTATTCGTATAATAGAGAAATGAAAATAATTCGGTATTTTTTTTTTTTGTTTTTCATGATTAAAATCAAGCCAAAGAAAAAAAAAAAGAATTAATCATTAAACAACACATCGAAATCAACTTTCAAGTGTATTAAATATGTGGCATTTTGAGCATATTCAATATTGTTTTATATTTAAACAATATTGCCTTTTCGATTTTTGACGATTTCTTAGTAACGAAATGTCAGGCATCAAAACTTCTCATAAGAATATAATATAAGTCATTATTGAGTACAGTAAACTGCCTCTTAAATAAATACCCGTCGGAACTACGAGAACGAAATCGTCACTAAACCACATCTGCCAGCACTATAACCAGAGCCTGTGGAAGAAAAGAAAGTTTTGCGTCCCCGCCCTCCGTCTCCATAACAAGACTTTTGAAGTTCTAGAGCATTGCAGAGTCTTCCTAGTTTCTGTTTTTTCTGCACATAAACAATTACATGATAGATATCAAGAATGATGTTTTGATTTCTCACAACTGTCATATGACACACATAAAAGCGGAACCTTTTTAATTCCTAACTCTCAGGAACGGTTCAAGAAAAAAAAAAAAAACTTCTGTTCGACATATAAAAATGAAAAAGACAGCGTTTGCTGACAATCGATTACCTTTGGAAAAAAAAGAGTTTTTCGTGTTCTGTATTTCTTAATAACAGTGCAAAGTACTGTATATTAGTCATTATCTACCTCGAATCACTATTTTATGACACAATGATCGTACGATTTCAAATATTGTTACAAAGTTCTGTTTTTTTTTTGAGAAAATTAAAACGAGTCTCAACAGCAGAAGTGATTCGATCAAATGTTGCTGCCATCTGTTGAAGTTTTCATTATATTGATGATCGATAAACAATGTTAGGCATTGTTAGCTGGCTTATAGTGTTAACTAAGCAGGGAACCACCTGAGGGGCAATACCTCGCGTTTGAGGTGAGACTCCATCAACTGTAAATAAATTTTCTTAACTTTAAGTCCAGAACTTTTGTCTACCAGAGTACTATAAAGAACGAAGATGGATAAGATCTTTTTCCAGTCGTACATGGGTTTCTGATCACTAGGTATATTAATCCGAGCATGCGGTCCACAAATGTAACATTTATAATGAATCGAATTGTATTGTCTGTGGAGTACAGCAACTTCAATGCTGTTACTCGTAGGATTCCCTGACTGAATTTCACTAACCTTGAGCTGAAAACTTAAGTGAATTGAGCTAAAGTTTGACTTGGTATCGCCAGTTTGTGTTTTAATTTTACTTCAGCTGGTTTTTCCTTGCTCAAGTTCGAATAAACCTCATAAGGGAACTTTATAGATAACCATATATAGCTCGCTAAATCCCGCGGAGCATACAATGTTATTCATTCTAAATATCATATTCGCGATCAGTCTATTTGAAATGATATATCTAGTTACTATATCACTTATTGCGATTTCGACTCGTTTATGTACCCTTGTTTTTTTTTCATGCAATGGACAAAAATTTTCAACTGGTACAAAATTCGATTTTGTGATGTATATAATTAAACGTAGATTAAATTCATCGTTCTACTTTGTATAATTTACAAATATGTTCTGTCGCTAAATTTGATATTTCGACTAAGTTGAAAGTTTTATAATCTCATCAACGATAAGTTCAGATTAGACATGTGTTTTGTACTACGAGTTTAGGCCGTGTGCCCATCTAGTGTATATTCTAGGAAGAATCGAATAATTGGATTGTTAACAAACAGAAACTTGAAAGGAAAAAAGTCAAAGGAACAGACGTTCCACATCATTCAAATCTCAAAAAAAAATCAGTAATTGTTATAAAAAAACTTACATGACTTTACCGGAAAGATACTTCATTATACGCTTCATGATTTCATTTTTATTTTAATTGTGAATCCTTGTAAAAACTATTAAAGACGAAAAACATAATTAGTCACAGAGTATTCTGACATAATCTCAGTAGACTCAAACATGTTGTTTTAATGTTGCTATTTACTTATATGATTTTTTCTCTCTTTTGTTTCAACATTCTTCGTTCTATAAAATTAATGTGTAAAAACTTTCATTATTGATCGCTTATTATAATAAGATTGTCCACCGAAAAAAATCAATTTATCCCATCAACTAATAGAGGGGTTCCTTTTTTTTTTTTGCATTTTCTTTCCAACAGAGTGACTCAGAATTTGGTTGTTTAATCTTGTTGAATATGTTGAAAGCATAATATGCGAAATTATAATCGTCCCTCCCTGTTCGTCATTGCAATTGAAATAACATCAAAAATCGATCCACATAACTCCTTCTAATCTGAATACTAGCTGCTGTGTGCCTTCTCCAACATGTTCTTAATTTTTTCGCTACAACATTTCATTTTGTTTTCCTTCCGAACTCGGAGTGAATATTCTGGCCACTTTGCTCTCAGAATATAATGAGTCCATCTGAATCTACACCGTTTATCCTCCTTTGATTATTTGAATGACGTTTCGTAGAATGATTGCAGAAAACTCATGAAGCATAGAATTGAAAAATTTTGAGAAATGCCTTNAACGGTTAGCTACAAATGTACCGCAACATAGTTGAACGAAAGGATTTCCATTCAATTAGTAATAGTAGAGCCATCGTGTTTCACATTTTTAATCCCGCAAGGGATTGCGCTAACAGCTTTTACTATTAGATAGTATGAATATTTTCTTCTCTCTATATTTTTGTCTGATCATGGCGTCATTTATTAGATCAAACTGATGCAATAAAACTATATCATTACTATATAGTTTCAACATTCTGTTCTTATGAATTCTTTCCCACATGCAATGACAATTGTTTAATACAGAAAGGAAGACAAAAATGTCGATGGTGTGTTGTAATAACACATTATGGTGACGTCAGTTTAACTCCGTAAATGACGTTACACGTCAATACAAGCACAGGAAGAAAAAAATATTCATTCTATATAATAGACATACCTCGTAGTTGTATTGCTTTATTTTCGAACATACTTTAACAGAAAAAGCATGCCACAATCAAACGATAATATTGCTTACCGTGTTTTATTAATCATCGATGCAACGGGATCCATGGGCGAGTTTTTGAACTCTCTTACTATATCCCTTTATCAGGTTGCATCCATTATGAAACTTACTACTCAAACAAAATCAGAAATAGGTATTCTATGTAAGTAACATCGATTTGTGACGTAAAAATCTTGAATATTCGTAAAGAGAGTTGTGAAATGAACGTAGTTAACTAGATGGTATTCGAGTTTCGACTCCAATACGAAATGCGGTGCGAAGCGTGGATTTCGATTTTTCGAAAAAGACAATATCTTCCGAAAACGAATAAACGATTTTACGATTCATTAGGGATTGCTTTTTTCAAAACCATATTGATGTTTCACTCAAATTAGCGCTTTTTCTCTACTTGCACATTCTCAAATTCATCTTTCAAGCGATCAGCTGATAAAAATATGAAAGAATTTATAAACTAGACATCGCAAAGTTCATCACTGCGAGAACTCTATAAGAGCGCATCAATATATTTCTAATGAACAATATCGATTGATCGTTTAATTATCTACATGATTCATTATCTATGATCGGCTGTATTCACTGGGGAACTGCAAAGTGGTCCCAGTCCCGGCGGGACTGGGACCGGGACTAAAACTTTTTCACACTGGTCCCGGTCAGTGTTTTATGTAATATATTTTCATGTTTATCATTTTGACATGATTAAAGATCTGTAAATCAGATATTTTTATTTGCTATTTCTATAAAAGTCTTAGCTGATTACAAGTCTGTTTGCAAGCATCTGAATTTTCAAATTGCACAGGTTTTTGAATACATATAAAACAATGAACACAACACTATACGCATAAGATTAATTCGTTCATTCTTTGATCATTCCTTTATTTAAGTCTTATCAGATAATAGTAAATAGATGTGTCGCTCATTATTTTTTTTTGACAATCGAAATGACGACCCAGTATAAATAATCAATTCGATAATAAATCCATTAGGTAGAGCAGTAGATATAAAAGAAGAGAGAAATAAGTAAATGACTGCTACGAAGTACCTGAGAATTTTTAACAAAATTCAAAGGTTATTTTTATTTCTTCGAGCTTTCAGTGAAATTCTTTCACTTTAACACTGGATATAAAAGAATTCTCGTATTGTTAGCGAATCAAAATCATTCATGACAATTTGATGTATTCATAAAAGTACACAGATCGTAAAAAAAAAGTTGCTCGATTTTAGAAATGAAGCCATTGTCAAAGACCGGGACCGGGACTGGAAAAAATTTGACCTGGATCGGGACTAAAAATAATATATGACTGGGATCGGGACAGGGACTAAAACAAGCGATTTTGCAGATCCCTAGTATTCACAGCTGTTTCACATATGAGCAAAGAAAGTGGCACCTAACTTTCGCTGGTGCTTTCGTTTTAATTATCTCAAAAATGAAAAAAAGCAAAGTCCTTTAAAATTTGTCATTTTCGGAAGCTAGTTGTAAGAAAACCGAACATCTTTTGGAAAAGAACTCAAAAAAATTTATTGGTTCGATCTCAATACTACGACTTCGCGTTCCAACAAGTTGTTTGGGAATTTTTGTTCTCGAGATCATCGCGATACAAAATGATGACTTGTGATGCGTATTCGAGAAAGTACTCGCACACGACTACATAAATGCTGTGCTTCGTATTGCATTAATTATTAACTTTAACTATGATATTTCCTTTGTAGGGTATCGTGATTATGATCAACCTGTTGATAAAGTCATAGATTTCTCTGGTTATACAACTGATATGAACAAACTTTCCACATTTCTTGGAGATTTAAAACCAGCTGGTGGTGGAGATCATCCAGAAGCTACAAAAACTGCATTAAATAAAGCATTAGATATGAATTTAGTGGATTCGAATACAGTAGTGTTTCTATATACAGATGCACCACCACATCATCCAACAACTAAAGGATCGTCCTGGTTATTAGAAGCAAAAAATATCAAAGAAAAAGATTGGATTAAGTTATGTAAACTGTATCAGCAAACTGGATGTAAAGTATTTTCAATTCTAAATGATGCAAAATTTACTACATCATCTTTTTACATATTATTAAGTAATTATACTCAAGGCAAAACATTATTATTAAGAACAACCGATGTAAAAACTATTTCAAAATGTACTATTAATTTATTCTTAAGGTAAGAATGACGATTGTCAGAATATACCATTTAAGGCCCCAACACATTAGAAGACCCTCCTATAATACAAGGTCTCCCATAATAGAAGATCCCCTGTGATGAATGAAGCAAAAGACATATTAGAGGACCCCACAGAGAATTGATTCTTTTGAAAACAGTTCCGAGTTCAGTGACATTTTTAGTATTAAAGTCCGTAATGATATCTAAGTTCAATATGAACAATACTTTACTTCCGGCATGATAGCAACGTGTCAGTCTCGAGTTAGAAAAATCTTGAGAAACAGCTAATAGGAAACAACTGTCTATTAAATAATAGTCTTTTTGAAAACACATCGTGGAGTTATTTTAGTTCTTCTTTACAGCTTGTTCTGGAAAAATTCGTTAATTTCTATATGCGGAAAAATCTTGCTATGACCGTACTATCTTGTGGGTCGAGTTCACATTCGCAAGTGTATCCCATGAAGAGATCTTTGTAAAATACTAACATATTAGATAAATATTTTGTTTTGTAGTAATAAAAAAGTTTCTTAACCTAGAAATTTCTTCTAGAGATTCAGAAACGTCTTTATTCCAAAGAAGATTTTCATAATTGAAGAAAACCTAACTTTACGTATACATTTCGGAGTATGTTCGGCGAGTACTTATGAGTTTGAGAACGTATTTCTTTTTTCAATACGATCTAGAGGCATTTTTCAAACGAGGCACCAAGGAAAACGCAGAATATGTACTCAACTGCTGTTGTTCTACAAACTGTTTCTTCGCAAGATAGCCGTATTCATTGAAGTTAGTTTGCGACCAATAACTTTGTTAGTAGTAGATTTCACTAGTTATCACTAGGTACGAATTCCATCCGTACTAATCAAGCCTCAACATAAACAACTGACTTAAGTAAATTCGGCACAAAGAAATTTGTTTTTTTTTCAGTTATTTAGTTATTTTGAAGGTTAAATGTTACCAGTGACAATAGAGTTCTTTAGAAAAATGAATTCTATTGAGCACTGTATCAAGATGTTAGGGCGTGTTGTTTGTATTGTTCTAAGAACACTTACTAACGATGACCTCGTTCTTTCCCACAGGATAATATGTTTCTTTCTCATAGCTGCTATGGCTGAATGGTTAAGATGTTCGACACATATCCACAATATAGTGTGTTCGAAGCTAGGCGTCACCAGATATAGAATAATCTTGGACAAGTTACTAACGATTTTTTGTCTTGAACCACTCATCCGACAGCACGCTAACTACGTATGACATACACAAGCACCTGTAGCTAGAATGTGGTTAGTCAGTATGCATGAGGAGCTTAAGTGATTAAGCAGGAGGAACTCTGAGTCAGACTGGCCTTCTATCCAGAGCTGCAGCTAGTAATAGTTGTAGGAAAAACATCGGACTTTCGAAACTGTCCTTGGACAGCACCCAATACTGAAAGGTACCCGAAATGCGAGGATATTCTTCTTCTTCTTCTTCTTCTTCTTCTTCTTTCTCATTGTGCACATGAGGAATAAATAAAAGAAACTTGTTTACTAACGATGCATCGTGCAAAATTGACTGGAACCAAAATTTGTTGATAACACTGCCAAAAATTAGCTTTTTTAAAGGACACATTAGAAGACTCTGGATCTTCTAATATGTCGGAGGCTTTATATGAATAGAAATTTTTACAACTGAATATTTTTCTTTGATTTTAGATTATGTAATGCTGAATATGAACCAACAGATTTAGTACAGTGTTTAAATTTCATAAATGTCAATTTATCTGCATTTGATAATGAAGAAGATGCACGATATGAAGATCTCGTATACTTACCAAGCGCAAAATCAAAGCACCAAGCTTCGATCAAGACTGAGTCATTCAGTGCAGATCCAATACAATTTATGATAGCAGATTTAAAATTTATGTTAAATAAATTTAAAGAAGATGATACATATAAATCTGTAGTATATCAAATATTAGAATCTTTAATGACACCTAAACATGTTCTTGCATTGACCCATAATAGTATTTTAGGTTTATTATGGCGATTAATTTGTGAACAACGAAAAGATGAACGTAGAGAAAAACTATTATCTACATTATCAAATACATTAAACATAATGGCTAGTGATGCAAAATTGAAAGACGATGCTGTAATAGTTCGAACATGGTTAGAAGAAAGTTATAATGCTAAAGAAGAAATTCAAGCTAGAATTGCTGAAGTTAAAGAACAAGTACCAGCTTTAGTATTAACATTAGATCAAAAAATGGATAGACGTGAATTAATGGAAATTACTCGATCATGTAATCCACCAGTATTACGTACAGTTATGAATTTATTAAATCATCTTACAGTTGTTACAAATATATCTAATTTACCACAAACATATTTACCATTAAATATCAATGATAATGAAATATTTAAATTATTACCACATCTTTTAGCTGAAGGTTTAAAAGTTTCGTTACGCCCAGCTTCGATTATGGCTATGTTATGTCTATTATCCAAAAATGCTATATTACAAGAACGAGCTGAACGATTTTTAACAAGTGTAAAAGGCAAATGGATTGATTTAGAATTACCAGAAAATTATGTATACACCTTTAGTAAAATGTGTATTAAATTACCTCAATTTTTTACTGATAATGAAAATCTATTCTTTCAAAAAATTTATACTGTTGGTGGATTAAAAATAAATGCTGCTACACATGTAATAGTTAAACAACCATTTAGTCCAACAATTATGCAGATTCATAAAGATATAAAAGCTGAATGTAAAACATGTCATATTATTAGATCTACTACCTTATTTCCAGATGTAGGTACCAGTTGTTGTGCATTTTGTTTAGACCGATATAATCTGAAATATACACCTGAAACATGTTCAGATGATTCATCACATTTAGTACAATGTAAAATATGCACTTGTTTATATGCAGTAGTTCAATATAATAAATTAAATGCAGAACCAAAATGTTTTTATTGTCGGGAATTAGTAAAAGCACCATATCGTCGTTGTACTGGATGCAATAACAAATATATACATTATGATTCAACTGAACCAATACGAAATAATGATGAAGAATATACATTTCTCTGTGCTGAATGTCAATATTATTCAACTAATAAAACTATAGTTGATATTCATGTTCCAATTAGTACATTAATTAATGCTAATAAAACCCAATTATTTGAATATTTAAAAATTAAAATTAAAGATAATATTGATCTTTTTTCTACTGAATGGTCATTATTTAAATTAAAAGATAAAATTGAATTAGATAATACAGAAGATATGAAATTTTTATCATTACCATTAATTCATAATAAAAAATCCATATTAAATCCTAAAGAAGTTTTAGAAGAAGTTTTTACATGGATACAAAGTGGTAAATCAGAATATGTAACTTGTTATATATGTTGTAATGATTTACCACGTGATAAAATAAATAAAACATGTGGTAATAAATTATGTAATGCTGATGCATGTATTGAATGTTTAACAAAATGGTATCAAGCTGTAAAACCTGGTAGTATTGTATTAGTTGCTCATTTACTATGTCCATTCTGTAAACAAGCACCTAGTGGGAAAATTCTTAAAAGATACAATAAACAAGCATGTACTATATTAAAATCGGATAAAGAAAACGGTATTGATGAACATTGGTATTATGGATGGTGTATTGATTGTTATAAAGTTAAAAAAGCACAAGAAAAAATCTGTGGAATAGATGGTAATATTCCTGTATTAACTGATTTTGTTTGTGATGATTGTGTTGAAATTCGTAAAAGTCCTAAAACTAATGATATTAAATATTGTCCAGGTATAAATGAAAATACAAAAGAAGTGTGTGGGGTAGCAATAAGTAAAAAAGGTGGTTGCAATCATATAGAATGTACTGCATGTAATTCTCATTGGTGTTGGTTGTGTGTGAAAATTTATGGAGATTTTATTTATGAACATCTTACAGCAGCACATGGTAATTATGGTTTACAAGACAATGATGATGGTGATGATTATGACTATTAAAGACGGAGGAGTTTAAGAACTATACATCCTAAAACAAAACTATTCGAACAACTTCCATTTTTTTATACCTCTTGATTTCAATAAAAGAAATAAAAACTAAAATTTTTCCTTCGTGCTCATTGGACCACAAAAGAATTATTATTAAGCGCAACTTCCACATTGACTATTCTTTTGTAGGAAAAACCGAATCGATGCATGTCTTCGAAGAGACATCTTTGAACGAACTGGAAAGTCATCATGAGCAGCAATCAAACGTTCGAGAAGAAGGAAGACAGTAGGATAATTTTATCTGATAACAAGAAATGGAATTGAAATCGAATTTCATCATCAGCCGCTTCATATAATCGAGTCGGAGAACGACCAAGAGGGTGGATGTGAGTGTGGATCTTCTTCTCACTCACGCACACTCACACCACATTTTAAATTTGTTTCATCAAAAAAAAACATTCGATTCATGTAAGAAATTCATTAATAGCTGTACAAAACATATTGCCAAAAAGATTCTTACATGTACAACAGAATGAACAGAAGAATTACAAAAAAATTCTAAAGAAACTAAAAGGGTAATATAAACAATTGAAAAAAGATTTTAGTAGAACTTTTTCTTTTCCATATTCTAATTAAAGTAGACTATTCAATCAGAATTAATAGATATTGATAGAATGAATAATGAAGTTAATCGTCAAGTATCACTTTGTACATGTTTCAAGAAGACATAATGTGCAACAAACTGCTGAAGGAGGATATCAAGTAGATAATATTTAAAAAAAATTGTTTTTATCAAAAAATAAATAAATAAATAATATTTAGTGTTGTGAATCACAAAGCCTTCGTCTTGTTCATATACTTCGTTCAACAGGTATGGCTAGAGTTCGTACCGATTGAACAGCACTTGATGGATTTCTGGCTCGACATAATCGATATCGATGCAAGATTGAAATATACAGTAGAGTGCAAAAAAAATTGCCGTTAAATTTTCACAAATCTCGTTTATTTATTGTTATCAAAGTAAATCCATTTTTTCATAAAAAGTTTATATACATAGTATACTACAAAAATACAAAACTTAATAATCTATTCTTTCTCCCTTTGAATCAATAACTGCTAAACATCTCGATTTCATCGAATATACTAAATTGTTTATAATTGTCAAATCGATTTTTTTCCATTCTTCATGTAAAAACTGGTCCAATTCGTCGATATTTGATGGTTTTCGTTTTTCTACACGTCGTTTAAGTATGGACCATAGATTTTCGATGGGATTAATATCTGGACTATTACTCGGCCAGTCCATTGTTTCAGGTACTTTGTCTTCCAAGAATTGTTGTGCTATTCGACTGGTGTGCTTGGGGTCATTGTCCTGCTGATATCTCCATCGACCTCCAAATTGCTTCTTTGCACCACCAATAAGATGTTTTTGAAGTATTTCAACATAAAGACGACCATCCATAATTGTTCGAAAAGAATGACATGATATTTGACCTTTGATACTAAAAGCACCCCATACCATAATTTTTTGTTTATTCTTTGGAATTTTTTTAATTTCTTTATCAGCATATTTTGACCAACGACGAATCGTGTTTCTGAATAATTGATAAGATGTTTCATCAGAGAATACCGTACGACTCCAATCATCATTCTTGTGTACCAAAGCCCATTGAACACGTCTTTCTTTTTGTTCATTGGTCAACATTGGAGTTCCTCGAGGTAAAACATTTTTATAACCTAATCGATGAAGCTGACGTCGCACTGTCATCGTGATACGCTTAAATTTTTGGTTTTTTGAAGTTTTTCGACAATTTCCGTGGATGTAATTTCATTATTTCGTCGAATCCATTGACCAATTGCAACATTATCTTCAGCTGAGATTTTTCGAGGTCGTCCATTACCACGTCGATGTTCCACACTACCTTCTTTCCGAATCTTCGCCAAATTATACTGGATAGTACGTACGGGGATCTTTGTTTGTCGAGCAATTTCAGCAGCACAACGATGACCCATATTATAATAATGTAATATGACTGATCGATGTGTTGACAAATGTTTGTCCTTTACTTTCGATGTCATTTTTATTGAACAGTTCGAATAAGGAAGAAAAAAAATCATGTAAAGTTCATACACGTATCGGCAATTTTTTTTGCACCCTACTGTATACCTAATTTTCTCTGTCATATGGAATACTACAAAATTTTTCTCAGTAGATATTTTAGTGAAGCTTGGATTGAGATTATCATGAAGAAGAAACAGTGAATTGCTTACTCCCTTTATTATATAGTGCATTATGATCTTTATGGAATGTATAGATAATTTCATGAAAAATTCTGATTATTTTTCATGTTCAACAGTCATATCTTATTTAAATGATTGCAAAAGAGTTTAATCTATGCACAAAAACAACTATAAATCCGTTTGAAGTCGATTAAAATGCTCCCAGTTTGATCTCATTCTTATCTGAGCTTTAACTTATGTTTTGTTCTTTTTCCTGTAATTTTCGATGTTCTCTTCAACGGTAGGTTACCGATTAAAATTCATCAATAAGTTTTAATTAATTAAACTTGACAAATTTTTTTAGTTGATTAGAACGAATTTTTAAAAATTGTTTTTAATCCAACATCTTACCATCCTTTTTTTGCATTGCTGCATAACACTAGTATAAAATGCATAAAAAAAGAAATATCTGTCAATAAAACTAGGGATTCATTATGAATGAATATCATGATTTTATTTAGCAGGAAGCTTACATCAACATTTAGTAGTAGATTGAGACTCATTTATTATCATTTTCTAGAGTAACCTAGGAGTGCGGGTGAGAGTGTTCGAGGTGAAGAGAGGACACAATCACTACGCACATATTGGTTTCTGTATTATTTGAGGTGGTTAGGATCGTTCACAGATAGTCAGTGACTAACAATGAGACAGTTCAGTAGATCTGTATTCGAGCAGTCGATTATTGATAGTTAATAGAACATAACAGTTCGAACAACATTTTTGCATCTTATTTCATGATGAAATAAACAAGATTCACAAATATGAGACAATTGTTTTTCAGATGATACAAGAATTGATAGTTTTCAGTATAATTCATTTTTCAATTAAAATAGATATTTTAGAAGATTCGATATTTCATCGTATTTCTCAATAAAAAATACCATAGAAAAAACATTCAACTTATTCATTCGAACTTGCATTTCAAAAATATTAATATTCCTAAAGAAAAACTTAGGACAACGATCATTTTATTTTTTATCCAGTTTTTGTAATAAAAAAACAAGTGTTTTAAGATAGTCTTATGTGAATGCAAAAATTGAAATGCTAGATATAGGCTGTTTTAAATTGTGGTGAACATATGCGAAATCTTTTTGAAGGTCTTATGTCATTTATGGAAGAATCACAAAAATTTATGACAGACGGGATAATGTAGACATAACTTAAAGTTTCCTTTGATAAATTCGTATAATCTAAAGACGTTGATCAATAAAAATGGAAATCGACATTGAAAGAAATCTCCAACTATTTTTTCATAAGTTAATGAGTAATCCATATTCTAGTAATTGAAAATTCATGTATAAAAAAGACATAGTTAAGAGGTTTTTGCTTGAAAAAATCATTATCGAAGTTCATTTATTTTCAAAACAAATTTCATTGAATTTGACGTTTTAGAACTTCAATATTAAATATGATTTATTTTCGGAGATATAGCACAGGCATCTATATAATAGTGCATCATGTTTGTGTTAAGAAAATTATTTCAGATCAATATTATTGTGTAAAAAAACAGAAATTAAAAAAATTCTTTTTCACTACATGAAAAAAATGCGGATCTATTTATCAATAAATGTTCTGAAAATTCACTTTGATTCATAGTTTTGATTGATCGTTAAGAATGGCTAAAATTTCATCAATATTTATCTATTCTTTGATCAGTTCATGTTTTTATAACATATCTATGACAAGAACTAAGAGTAAGGATGTGAATCGGCTTGTGTGTGACACTTCTTTAAACACACACGTGCCACGTATCCATTACTTCCTATATTTTTGATCGGCAGAAACTTAAACATGGCTTCGGAAATTCATTCAAGTCATCATACGTAAATCAACAGTAAAGACTTCTATTAAAACATTTTTATCAGATTTAACTTATCGATAGCAATTATTCTTTTTGAAGTATCTAAGTCAGTAGAATCCACTTATAGAAGATTACAACTTTAAAAAAAAATATTTGTCAGATTTAATAGCTTCAATGTCGTTTGAGATCCCATCTAGGGTAAAATCTTATATTCAGCATTATTCACAATAGACATTCACCACAGTCAAAACGTAGTACTTTGAATCAGATCCTATTATCATTCGAGATATAACTAGCATCTGATATATGCATTACAAATTAACACGATAAAAACAAACAATTCTTTAGTTAGGTTTTATTGAAGTACTGAAACCTGATTAGACTCGAGCACGAATGTCGAATATAGCTTTATGCGAATTTTTATAGAACTGTATCGAGTCAAATTGAGTTGAGATTTCGATTGAAAATGTGTCTAATTTTGTTAAGTGTTTTTTTCAATAATTTACTTCGGTTCTTTCTGCATCGTTTTCCACCATTGATTCAAATCAATGAACCATATAGATATCAATTTATATTGTTCAACTGTAGAACAGAAGTTATTGAATAATTACAAATAGATTTCGAACACTTACGTTCTAGCATACAATGCGATGGATTTGTTTTTACAACTTGAAAGAATAATCGCAATAAAATATTTAAAAAAAATTGATAATACAATCATGTCCTCCTTTAACTTAGTTAGAATTTGTGGAGAGAGAGAGAGAGAAACAGTTGTGTAAAGAAACAGAACTTTTATATTCATTCTTTCAAAGAAAATTGTTATATTAGTTTAATGGAAAAGATTCAATGTGTCAAGTAATCATTCCTTGCTTTGAAAACGAGCATAGTCAATTATCACACATAACCATTTAATTTACTTTTATTATTGATCATTTATCTTACTGTTAATAATCGTTATTTTTAAGCTTTTAGAAAATAATTTTATTATTTAGTAAAAACCTTCACATTCATCAAATTAAAAAAAATAAAATAGATTTAATTTCATAAAAATACTTCAATAATATCTCCATATTTATTTCAATACACTTTTCTTTGTGTATTTCACCTATATGATTATAGCTTGTGACAATTTCTGAATGTACATATGAAAGTTGCTTCAGTGGGATTCTTAGTTATTAAGGATGATCTTTAATTTTAATAGTAAGACTATATTGACTGAGATTAGTATGAATATAAGTAATATTATTATGAGATACATGCATGAAAGAATGTACCAATTCAAATCCTTAAAGTTGGTCTAGAAATGAGAAGTTACTATTACACAAACAGTGACTTTACCAGTTACCGAGTAATGGGATAGTGCAAAATTTCTGGCTTTGATTCTTTTCTCTAGAAAAGACTTTTTTGCGAAAGTAACATTTTTTTTTTTTTTTTACAAAGTTTGACTGAAAGTTTTCGAGATCGAGGAATCTAAATCTATAATCACCTTCTCGAAATTGTATACATCATTTCTCGGTCAAGTTATCTCAACTCCGCAGACATTTGATCACACTTCATTAAAAAAAACACTAATTTCGAAAAATAGCTTTTCTTAGACGAAAGAATCAAATTCAGGAATTTTGTGTTACCCCATTGTCCAGTAACTGATAAAATAACTGTTTTTGTAAAGGTAACTTCCTACTCGTAGCCAACTCCAATTACGATCAACTCGAAGAAATTGAAATGGTATATCCCTGATTCGAAGGTAGATACTAACAACACTGTTATACAAACACGTCATGCTGTCCTGAAGTGACTAATATCTATCTCACTGCATCATTTTCTACCAACGCATTTTCTTTCCTTTCTGTTCTCTTCTTCATGACAAATGGTATATTCTCTTTTATATTCTTCTTTCTCTCTCATCAAATTTGTTGAACTTTTCCTATCTTGTTTGTCATCATGGATATTTTATCATGTTCATCTCTATATATAAATTGTAATTTCGTAATAAACGGCATCCAATCAAGCATACATCTTCTTTGATCTTCAAAGTTAATCACTTAAGGATTTCACATTCTTTTACACATGTTTCTAGAATTATTTTTATTCGTTTAATTAAAAAATTTGATTGCTTCGTTATACCATTCTATATAGTACATGATTAAAATCTCTTTGTTTGCGAAGAATACTGCCAATCAAATCGTATGCTGTAAAAATTTTGAAATTAGAATTATAAATAGTTTTGTCACTAGTTATCGAATCAAACGATCAATACAAATTGAGCATTGCAATCGTTTCCATAGTGTTTGCTGCATGTAGTCGAAGCCTTTTTATAAATCAGATTTATCATCACTACTTAACTTTATTTGAATGATCCATATTTGATCATCATCGTCTTAATGAACATTGATTAAACGGATACTATAAATGGTCATAAAAAGTTATTGAATTTTATCATTAAAACAATCGAATGAGCTAATGACACAAGGATCATTAATAATAATTAATAAAACTCGATATAAATCATTTGATATGTCGAGATTTTTCAAAATTTAAAGTGCTTTGTAACGATTAGTGCTGAGTAAAAATAAATGTGTTAATTAAAATATAAATTCACCATTGGATTAATAAAGACTGTTTAATTTATTGTTTATTTTCGATATACTCCGATTGCAATGACAGAAAATGCATCTAATAAAAGATTCAGGAGATAAATCTATTACTTAACGAAATGTTCAATTCATTGTTCATGTCTTTTTGTTTTAGTTCTTAAAATAAATATAAGTTGATAATAATTGTCGTAGTGAATGGATATGAAGTACAATGTCTTAATTTAGTCAAACTAATTGAAATAAAAATAGTTTCATTGTTGTGGAAAGATGTTCAGATGATTAATAATGAGACAAAGTTTTATCTATGATTGTCAATTTTCTTGTGTTGTATTAAGATTTGCATGACACCAAAGAAGACCGAATATTCCGAAAATTATTGTTCCGTCGAGATAAGTCGATCGTGTTTTCACTTTGAAATTTTCGTTTTCTTTTTATTTACGTAAGAGGGTATATTATAATTTTTGTAATTTTTTTATGTTACTTCTTTAAAAAAAAGACGTAGTGCACTTTGATTTCTTTGTTAACCTTTATTCTTGCTGAATACCTATGAGGTCACCTATAAATGACGGTCGAATAAAAGAGGGGGTAGAGAATGATTGACCTAAACCGGATAAGATTCAACAGAGGAAAGCGAATGGTTAGACACATACGGACATGCGAAGATTTTTTTCACTTTTTTTAAGTATTTTATTTAAAAAAGTTTTTGAAATGGTGACTGGTAAATTCATTGCAGGTGTGGAAATCAGAGATAGGCACAGGAAAGGATGGTCCTGTTGTCATGTCGTATGCCAAGTTCTGATGGATGAAGATATTTTCTGTTCTCTATTGACATAGTCATCATACCCTAGTCCATGCATCCACCTACACTTATTTTCGACCTTATCCATCTGCTTTTGATGCTCCTTCAGAATACTTTAAGACTAGCATGTCTTACAACGAATTATCCTGTCACTTTTTTAAACCAGGCGTCCAAGACGAGGGAAGAGAGGCGGACAAATCTGAACTACGAGAAACGAAAAGTTTTTAAAAAAGTGGTTTTCGATCGAACGTTCATTATGGATGACGAGTCATGAATAAAGATTGCTGATTAAAATATTTACTGTAATGCTAATCGAAAGTAAAGCTTACCATACCTGTTTATTTTAATTGTAAAATTCGACTGAATCACATCTTCATTTCAATCATATGGCTACAGTTTTAGTTATAAGAAAAGAGAATACTTTCAAATTAACTATCGAAGTGAAATCTTCTTTCTGTTTTTCAAAGAAGACTTTATTTCAAATGTTGAATTCGATAGAGTAATCGCATTCTGTTTTGTTTTATATATTTTGAAATGCGATTAAATAGCTCCATAGTTTCATAAAGGAAGAAAAAATAAATAAAATCATACAAAAGAAAAAATATAATATAACAATTCAATTGAAAGTTATTTCTTATTAAGATTGTTTTCTACTAAACAATGATTTAATTTTATTTTTAAATGAAGATGAACCATCTTTAGCTGAACGTTTATTAGCAGATTTGGAATTATTTTCTGCATTAAATAAGCGAGTCGAACCTAAATATATATAAACAAAATCATGGCTTTTTCGAGAAAGATTTCATGTGAATATCTACCCGTATTTGCAGGACCGCTAGCTGCATTTCGTTCAGGTGCTGCTGTACTTCGTTGATCTAATAGTACAAAATAAATTGAAGAAATAAATAAAAAAATTCTATAGAACATTTACTAGTTGGATTTGTTGTTGATCCAGTAGCCTGTCTTGGATTATTTTCATTATTGGTTCGTGTAGCAGACGGTGCATTTTGTGTTGCTGGAACACGAGGATTTGTTGGTGCTGTTGGAGTACGAGTATTTGTTTGTGTTGTTGGAGTACGAGCATTTGTTTGTGTTGTTGGAGTACGAACATTTGTTTGTGGTATTGGACCACGAGCATTCATTTGTGGTGTAATTGTAGGTCGTCCACTTGTTGCACTAGTTGGAGTTGGTTGAACATTAGATTGATTTACTAATGGACTTGGTAATTTATTAAGAGGTGTTGATGATTTATCTTCAGTTTCACCGCTACTATCTTCATCTGATTCAGAAAGTCCTATATCACTTCCTTCACTTCCAATTTTTTTCACTTCAGTTCGAGAATCTTTTGGTGAAGTTAAATTTGTTTGTGATACACGAATCGTTGGTGGTACTGGATGAATATCTTCACTACGTTGTATTGTTTGACTTCCTGTTTTTTTATCAATAGGTTCTACAACAGATGAATTTGTAACTTTAGCATTAACTGCTCCGAGTCCGTTTGATCGAGAATTTTTAGGATTTTCATGTTCATTATAACTAGCTATATAGTCGTCCTCATCATCGGATGTTGTTGCGTCAGCTGAACTCATTGAATATCGATCAGGTGAAATACGCTTTGCAAGTTTTGGAACAATCGGATTGTTGGCTGTTGTTGTGTCATCTTCTTCGTCACTTTCATCTTTTGTCATTGGTTTCATTGGAGCAACCATGGAAGCAGCAGCAGAGTCTGAACAAAATCAAGATTCATTATATATGAATTAACGATAAGAATTTAGAAGATAAAATATCTACTATTAATTTATACATAATATTTTTTTAGACAAAATAGAAAATATTTACTAATAATATTCTTACTTTGTATCTGAGGTTGTGTTTTTGTTTGATTTGGTTTTGCTAAAAACAATTTTTTTTAAATTGATGTAAATATTTTCATTAGATTTTAATTGTCTTACGAGGTGGTGATGTTGATTGATCATGAACATTTGTTTTTTTTCGATTACGTGGTGATGAATATGGATCATCATAATCACCACTATATGTTGATACTGATGTAACAGATGTAAATGATTGTTTAGAATCAAATTTTTCTAATGGTGGACGATACCGATTTGGTGGATGAAGATCATCTATATGATCATCTTCTTCATCATCAGAATAATCATTCGGGTCAGGACGATTAAACGGTTGACGTCGAGGAGCTTGTTGGCCAAAACTACGTCGTAAAATATCATCAGCTTGTTTAGTAAAACCTCTTCGAACACTAATTGGTGTTACAAAACCAATATCTGCTAAACTTTGACCATATTCACGATCTTTTTCAACAAATCTAACGCTTGATACAAATGGTTTTATTTCTTGATAATAATCTTGTTGAACACGTTTTATTAAACTTTCAAGATTAAATGGTTGCACACCATTTGAATTGTTATCTGTTGTAGTTGCCATTGGTTGTTGAGGATTTCTTGTTGGTGCATTAGTAAACATGGTTACTAATGGATCTTGTGTTGTTTGAAAATTATTTGAAGGTTGAAATGTAGTTTGAAAAGAAGGTTGTTGTTGTTGTGAAGGTGGTTTTGTTTGAGAAGGAGTTGGGTATTGTCTGTCATAGAATATATGAAGTGGATCATCCAGTAAAGTATATAATTTGCCAGGCACCACCTGAGCAACATTTCCAGTTTTAGTTTTAATAGGTATAGATGATTGAGGTTTTTGTTGGGGTTGTTGTGGTGAAATCGCATATTGAATACTATTATAGACAGCTTCTGGTTGTGAACGTGTCGGTGGTTGACTATGATTATTATTATTATTATGATTATTATTTGATTTTGTGTTTGTTTGAAGTACTTGTCCTTTGTTTGGTCGAATTATAGTTGAATAATTATTTGAAGTTGTTGATGATGAAGGAGCAGTTGTTTGAAATGAAGAAAAAAATGAATCATCGCGCGCTGTGACAACATTGACTTGTGAAGGTTGTCCACTGATAGTAGACGCATTCACTAAATTTTGTGGCAAAGCACTGAGAAAAGGAAAAAAGAATGGATTGTTCTTTTCGTATTGTTTGACAAAAAAACAATGCTTACTCGGGTGCATATTTTTCTAAAAGTTTATCAACTGCAAAATTAAGTTGCTGATCATTGCCATCGTGATAAGCAATATTCGATTTTGGTTGTTCTTTATTAAAAGATAATGCTTGATAATTATTTGGTTGGTTTTCTTTGTTTATTGATGAAGATGGTATTTGTGATTCAAATAATCGTTCTTTATTCGGTACAGTATTTTTAGAACTTGTTATTCCCGTTCCAAATGAAGGTGGTATATCATCTAGAAGTTCAATTTCAGTTGCACTAATACCTATTCGTCTCCTTGTACCAGGCGTATCATTATCAGAATCATAAATAATATTACCAAAATTTCCTACTTTTTCAACATTATTGCTTGTCATCGTTGACTGTAATATAAAAAAAAAAGTAATATTTCAAAAAGAGAATGGCTTGTTGACGACGATGGAGTGTATACACACAAGAAAAAATGAGCGTGAAGTGAGAAAAAAACCAATCAAGCGGAACGTTTATACAGCCTTCAGCTTCGAATAAGACATTCTCTCTGACTATATATTGTGCTTTCTACGCTTATTATGCGCTTGTCAAATGAATGAATGTTTATTATGCGCATATAAAAGGGAAAAAAGGATATGCAGTGGATGTCTGTATTTGTTATTATTCAGTATGACTGTAATTTTTAAAAATAGATAAAAACAGACGATATAAGTATATATATATGAAATACTACTTCTTTCATTTTTTTTTTGTAAATAGATTGATAATCAATCATATACCAATGAAAGAAAATCATCATATTTAATAGTTTTTTTTTGAATGAAATATTTTTTACCTTATTAATAGTAAAACCATTTTACCTGATCATCACTTTACAAGTTATATTGAATTAATTGTTTTTTTGTACATATTTTATCTGACTTCTCTGAATAACGTCGAAAGTAAAAATATCAAAAAGAAAAAAAAATACGCGTTATGCAAATGTCGAAAATAAAAATATCGAAAAGAGACGTTCTTCTGTTTTAAATTATGAAACTTAGGCATCAGAATAAAATTATTTTAAAAAAATATGAAGAGAGGCGATACTAGCAGCCCACTGCTATATAATGATGTCACATGAGCAAGTGATACAAAGTTTCAATTAAATACGAGTTGATGTTGACCAATTACCTGGTTATCCAATGCAATAATTATTTACATATTCTGAAAAAAAGATTCAATGGATGATATTGATTTATGAAACATGTTCACATGTGATATACGAATGAACAACATCTATGAGGGTGAATATGATACAAGCAGAAAAAAGGGTACTTCGAGATACAATGAAATATATACATATAAGCACATGAGAGTATTTAGAAGTCCTTTCTTACTTTTTTTGTAGTCAATTATTTGACAGATGCATATTTTTATCAGATATCAACCAATAAGTCGATTATTTATATATATATCCCCCTGGACAAAAATAGTTCGACAAAGTATTTTCAATAAATTATTACTATAAATTGACCTTTTTGAAAAAGTAAGGATATATTCGGATAGCCAGAAGAGTTCTCTACAAAACTATATATAAACATTTTGGATTGCAATTCTCCTTAAAAAACAACTTCACGTACAATAAAGGCACCCTCATGTTCAGATTTCCAAAAAAAAATATTTTTTTAATTTTCATATATTTTTTCAATTTTTTTTTCAATATAGAAACAATTTATTACAAAAATAACTGCATAATATACTAATGTTGAAAGTCGAGTAACCGTTGTCCTCTTTCTTTTCGAATGTTTTACATGTGACCATTCTTTGACTTCTCGTTTTTCTTTCTATTTTCTCGAGAATACAGTTTAGTTACATACATTAGTTTATAATCTAGTGTTATGGATACCTATCCACCAGTTAGTCCGGATATAAATGCTGTTGAGAGTGTATGGTCATGGATGAATCGGTATGTCCAAAGAAATCATCCACGCTCTCAACAGCATTTAGAAAGATTAGTTGAACAAGCATGGAATGCAATTCCTCAAAATGCTATACGTGTATATATTAATCACATATCGACTATTTGTAATCAAATCATATCTAATAATGGCTGGGAAAGTATAGGATGATAGAGACTTTGATGTACTCGTATATTATGTAGTTATTTTTGTAATAAATTGTTTCTATATTGCAAAAAAAATTGAAAAACTATATGAAAATTAAAAAAAAAATTTTTTTTGGAAATCTGAACATGAGGGTGCCTTTATTGTACGTGAATTTGTTTTTTAAGGAGAATTGCAATCCAAAATGTTTATATATAGTTTTGTAGAGAACTCTTCGGGCTATCCGAATAAATCTTTACTTTTTCAAAAAGGTTAATTTATAGTAATAATTTATTGAAAATACTTTGTCGAACTATTTTTGTCCAGGGGGATATACTCACATGTTGTATAAATACTAAGCGTGTTACCTTGGATTTAGCATTCTATATTTTAATGTTCATGAGATAATATATTAATATAAAAAGCCTAAATTCTGCTAAATAAACGAGCTATAATAAGCCAATATTGAATACAGTAAATCAGTATTGAAAGAAAAAAAAATTCAAGTTGTCTATACGACATTGCGGCATTACAATCTATTTGACTCCTATGAACGCGTTTTAACTCGTAAAATCATTAGTGAGATCGACAAAAACACCCACACCCATATGAAGTCATCTTTGGGATAAAAAAACCATGATTATACTCAAAGACATCGAGAATTAATCATGTATTTGGTAAAAAAAAATAGTACAAACATTGAGTTCGCAGTACCTTTCCGTTTAAAAAAATTTTAATGCAAAAAAAGGTGGTTTCCATCATCAGCCTGGTTATTCAACGCGATAAGTTATCTAAGAATCGAATATAAAACGTTTTTTCTATCCTTGTTCATATCTCAGACATAACAAATTATCAAGCCAAATTTCGAAGTTTTGAATCTGAGAAAGATATTCCCATAACTGCGCTGGTATCACCTGATGTTAGTATCATGAAATGAAAAATAATCAAGCCGCCGATTCTCCTTTTAGTACTTTTTGATAGATTACCTTGAAAAACAAAATGTTCTTTGCCTTGTGATCGAAAACATTTGCAACAGATTGTTTTCTTCCCACAAGCATCATATTTATTACCGATGCACAAAATACATTGTCCATGGTATTATCTATAGAAGAAAACAAGATGTACAAGGTTCTTGCTTTGATTGTTCTAGTTGTTTTCGGGAGTGTAGCAGCTCATGCACCTAAAATTAATGTTCAATCAAACCATATTAGACGTGTTTCATTGCCATTGAAACAAGGAAATAATGGTATTGATTGGTGTCCACAATGTGTTGACACATTTGGTGACTTAATCGAACTTGTTCTTAATGGTATCATTGAATTGGGTATTATAAATACATGTGATGATATATGTGATTATGTTGCTGAAAAGTCAGGCTCAAGTGTTTTAGGAATTATTTGTTCAATCGGTTGTGATATTGTGGGAATTAACGAATTTATTAAATTAGCTGTAAAAGCTGATCTTGATCCAATTTATTATTGTGAATCATTAAAAATTTGTCCAAGTAAAAGAAAATATTTTTTTTTTATTAAATTAAAATAACATTTTGTTGTTTTTTCTACTGCTTTAGTAAATGATAATGGTGATGCTAAATTTAAATCATTTGTTATTTTACCACCACATGCTCAAGTTTATAGTACATTTATTATTGATTTTGTTTATGAATCTATTAATGGAACTGGTACTGGTCAATTGATCATTAACATTCAAACCGTTGATGGCGTTGAACTTTCGACTACTTTTCTTATTGAAGCACAAAAACCAGGTAGATATGCTGAACGTATTGCTGTGGATGCTAGTCCAGATCCAGATTGTGATCCTAGTATCGGTAAGAAGTTATTTATTGTTTTAACTTAAAAAAGAAAAGGTTATATTTTTAATAATAGAACATTGTGAAGAATGGTTTCCGGGTGTATATAATGTTACAGTTATGATTTGTAATGGGCAATGTGGTTCACATCATCCCCATAGCCAGCTATATGATATGGTTAAAGGGTCATTTCAAATTGATAAATAATAATAAAAAATAGTGTATTCACTCTTTTTCTTTTGTTAAAAAAATACATAAAATTGTGCTGTATGAAGATATCTGATTTGATTATAAGTAAAAATATTTTAATTTTCTGCATTAAAATAAAAATTAGAATAAGAATTGTTTTCTGTTGAAAAAATATTTAATAGAATTAGATGTTTCATCTGTGTTCGTTCAAGTGAATACATAATAGAATATCTGCAAGATTTCTTTCTTATAATTATATGTATAATGTATTAATATATAAATTAAAATGAAAACAACAAGGAATCATCTATAGAGAATGTTCAGTAAAAGAAAGGATTAGCAACAAGTGAACATTTTCAGATAGAAGGATCGTAGGAAGGCAAATGCATATGAATGTACACATGCTAATTAAAATACTTTTTTCAAGTATTTTTCGTGAAAGTTTTAGTTTAAATTGATTAGAATCAGTATTTTCAAAAGTGCAACTTCTAAGAATACATCACGTATACAGAGTGTTTCATAAGTCTTGAGACATAACAAAAATTAGTTTATACGCAGAAAGAGAATAATATCTAACTCAAACATTTTTAAATGAATTTTGAATAGTTGTGCTAACCTTTCAAATTCTCTTCTAATAAGACAAATATAAACATAAGAATGTCAGGATAAATCTTTTGCAATTGATCAACTTGATTTTTTTTATTAAGTTCTAAACATATTCTACATAATATATATATAGCGCAGTAGAAATTGATGATTATTGAGCCTGTTCGTTAATTGAACGCTTACCATAAGTTACTAGCTACACATTGAACTTTAGAATTATTTAATATTCGAGTCATATTTTAAGATGACGTATTGTCCACCAAAAGTGTATGAGTAATATGAATCGAAAAAGGATGAGAAGAACAATATT